TCTATCTGTAGAATGGCTCTGTTTTATGTGTTCTCCATTCAGAGGGCCCCCTGCCTGTCTTTGCCTAGGGCCCCACATTTCCTAAATCCGCCCCTGGCCTCACTGGAACACTTCTTCTAATTTATTGATTTTATCTCCATGCGATGCAAAGGAAGTAAATAAAAGTTCCCATCTAAGAAACCATCTCCAATCATTCGAGGTAAATGTTCTTAAACAAAACAGGTAAATGTGACGTTTAACCAAACCACAGAAGCCCGTTTAAAACCACACTGACCTGTTTTTCTTACTAACAACCATCTGAAGGGAGAAAGCAACTTATTTTTTATGTAAGCTCTCATCAGTAACTTTTTTTAGTGTGTATTTATGAAGCCAAGTTACCGTGGGAACAATAACACTTCTATTGGGGAGATATTTGTGGATGAAACATCAAGCAGGTTCAGGTATAAATACAGCTTTTACCTGAGACGGTTATCTAACATGTAAAAACAAAAAACAATGAACCTAATTATGATCACCTCTGTTCACTGAGGAGCTAAACACACAGTATGAGGTGAACTTATTTAGGGGAGAAAATAAGCCTTTAAAATATAGTTAAAGTATTAATATTCAGTCAAATCTTACTCAATTACAGGTAAAAGTTACTCAGTGAAACATCAAGTGAATGTATTGAAGCACTCACTTTTAAAAGTACTTAAGTATTAAAAATGGAGATTAAATGTTCTAATATCTCTACATTTCTGTGTGATTTTCAGAGTAATTTAAAAGAACCTGTAACTTTCAGAAACCCCCCCTGATGTATTGATGCGTAGAACCACCTGCTATAGATTCTACTTCGCCTCAATTCAATTCAGTTTATTTCTAAAGCTCCAATTCACATCATTTCATCTCAGGTCACTTTATAGAGACAATTCAACCAGATCATCCAGTCTGATTGATTCAAAGTTTTCTATCTAAGGAAAACCAGCTGATTGCATCGACTCATTGACTCTTCAGCAATCCCTCACACTAAGCAT